CAGCAGACACCTCACAGCCCCGGAATAGCTGCATCTCAGTGGGAGTCCCTCCTTCAAGGCAGACAGTATAATTAGCACTGTCAAAGGCGATCCCCGAACAAATGGCACAGTACCCCCTGATCCACGGGGTGAACACGGTCGCAAAGAAGAGGACAAAGTGGCATATTTACTGGGATGCTACTTATGTGGTGTTTAAAGTGAAAAGACAATTAAATAGGACAGCGCTTGCTGATGTCACTGATAGGTAGGTGGGGTGAGACTTGTGCCACTGAAGATATTCAAACAGTTATTCTTCCCACACTCTAGCATGCAGGCCTAGAGGACTAGAAAAGAGGGAGAAAAAAGAAGTGGAGCTACAGGCATTCTGTGGGTAACCCATCATAGGCAGCTGATACCTTGCTGTAAGAAACAGAGTGTCTACATGAGTGGGGGTCCCATAGCCATCATTACTGTACTGCTCAGGGGCTCACTGAACCATGGAAAGCTAGGATAGTTGATAGCTCCAGAGGATTCTCCATAATGGAACAAATGGCCCTGGAGATATGCTTAATTGTCTTTAATAGGTAGACATGTTAGAATTATGCACTGAAATATGATTTAAAGGCTACAACTTTGATGAGCCTCTGGGGAAAGAAAATAAGCTACAGATACGTATGCCGCTGCCTTATACACTTTTCACTGGGGCAGCACATTTTCAGCACACGCACACACCGTGGCACCTCCAGTGAGATGACAGCAAGTTGGCAGGCCCTGCAGCTGGAGGCTTCTCTCTCTTTCTCTCTTCTATCCATCCCTCCATCCTCGCAGGATTCCCTCTGTAATATTACACACTTCAATGTTCAAGCTGCCACTTTCCAGAAAAGCTATCAGAGCTGCTGTGGGATCAGACCAGGACTGCAACAGCAGAAATGCGTGAACCACACAGGCAGGGCTAGATGTTGTTGCGGTGTGGAGGTGTTTGTTTCCAACACTGCTGGAAATGCTACGAACCATCCAATGACAAGTTAATCCGCTGCGGTTGTACCTACGCCAGGGCTGAGCATATTAATGCTACTCCGGGATATGTTCTGCTTGTGTGATTCATAGGTAAAGAAAGTGGTGATCTACTGTTTTGATGAATCATGATGAGTCACCACATATGTATAGAGAGGCATGCTAAAACTGAGCCAATATCCTGTTGCACGAAAGGAAACTTTACTATCAGGCCACAGAGGAGTCAGACGGTCAAATCAGAGTCTCAATAGATAGCAAAACAGTGCCAGCCACCCTTCAGTGTAAAATGAAGGGTGGCACCTCTTTTGCCACATGTAATTCAGTACATGATGTAACCCCCCCAACCCCCCCCCCCTGCACACACACACACACACAAACACACAGTAACCAAGGCATGAAAGGGGAAAACCAAAAAGAAAACACAGAGTGCTTCTTATGCAAAGCGACTCAAACAAAGGCCTCTTTGACCTCCCAACATCTGGTGTCCATTCAGCCTGTGTGGCGTGCATCAAGTTACCCAACATTATGGTGAGACAGCCAGTCACGCCTGTCGCAAGGAACAGCCTCTTCTGCCCATGCTCAGTCATGACAAGGCTTTGACATCACTGTCAGACTAAGAGTGACTAAAGCTGACAATCTCCCTTTACCTCCGGAGAAAGAGAAATAGGAAAAACATGCCGCTGTTGGGGAGTAAGGGAGGATGAGGGGAGACAGTGAAAGGGGAGGAAAGGCAGAAAAAGCCTGGATGAATCACCCAGCACGCACGGCAGCGGCTGAGGTAGCCGTGTCTTGGAGTACATGAGTCATGTTCATCATGCAGCAGCACTGGGCAGGGATTGCACAACTTTCTCTCCATTTGGAATGTTGCAAATATTTACCCTTTGATGGGAAAAAACAATAGCTCTAATCCTTCTAAAGAGCTCCCAGTGATAGTGCCACACATCCCTCACACTGAAGTCACTGGCACCTGCTGAGAGGATGGATGGAACACCAGTCAGCCTGCTGCAGCTCTCAGGCACAACCCACCCCAAAACAAAACAAAACAAAAAAACATTTGACTCCTAAACTGTAATCGGATATTTATGCTGCATTCTAATACAATAGTAAAAACCATGCAGCACCAAAAGCGTGTGCAGCTTTTCATTGAAGAAAAAGATAAACCCCAAGAAAATCAACAGGATGGAAACATTTAAGGCCCACATTTATAACCCTCTCTCTTAAAAATCCAAACGGGTTCAAAGCCATTTTTTAATTAACAGTCCATCAGCAGAGTGTGTTTCTTTATAACAGGTCAAGACGAGTGGGGGTAATATCCCACCATAAACGAGATTTATGGCTCAGGCGGTGATAGTTTTAGAGCCATGATGGCGGAAATACTCCGGTCCACCTTAAAAAAAAAAAAAGAAAAGAAAAAAAAAGCTAAAACCCTACAGTGGACAGCGCCGTGGTGCTGAAACAGCTCCGAGCGACATCTGTACACAAGAGGAGCGGGAGGGGGGTACTTTAACGTTGAAATCACAGACACACACACACAAACACACACCAGCGTGCGCCATTGCCACAAAGGACACCTTAAATGATCTTTCCAGTGTCATATTGTGTAATCTCGATGACGTTCGTGGGGAAAGGTTAAGCTATTTGGCGTGCTTTTTACGTGAAAATGGCGGGCGCCGCTGCTAAAACCCAACCCATTACAGCTATAGCCACAGCCACAACAAAGTGGGAGGAAAGCGCCTGAAATTCATGTTGCACTACAGCACTGATGCCAAGCTAGTAGAATAATATAGGAAAGGCTCTAAAAGGGGGGGAGTCAAGAAGCGTCAGCCAGGCAAAGGGGACCTTGTAATAATCACTCCGGTAGCCTACTATCCGCTAGTGGTCGACAGCAAAAAGTTCTAGCTTGGAAGTCAAGAGTCAACACGGCCACCAGTATCTCAGAGATATGTACACACGCTGTGTCTAATGACAATCCACCAACACACAAGGTTTATTCACCAAACAGCACCGACACCGCCTGTTAACACCCTCTCTTTCTCTCCGCTTACTTTAGCATAGACTGCTCCTTCGCTTCCTCCTTCTTCTGTCGGTCCATGACGCCGAGGATGATCTTCCTCTCCTCCTCGGTGAGGTGGCTGAGGTCCGGCATCTCCGGCATGGCGCCGGCCGCTGAGGGAGTAGCAGCAGCAGGGCCAGGGCCGCCCCGGGGCCCGTGTGGAGCAGACATCTTTTACACACAGTGGCTAAAAAACGAGAAAGTCACCGTCAACCAGCAGCATCGTGGCCGCTATTATTTATTTATTTACCGTTCTTTTCTTAGTGTTAAAGCCGCTAAATGTTCGGTTTGGGTTGGTGTGGTTTGCAGAAGGCACCGCGGCTTACCGACAGCATGACATCTTGGTTAGCGGTATCATGAACATTATTATCATCGTTATTATTATTACTGTTGTTATCATTATTATTATTATTATTACAGCGTGCTGTGCGAATAGGCGTCAAAAAACTACAGGCTTCATCCCCAGCTAGTGCAATGCTCGCGGTGAACTTATCAAATACGCTGCAGCTGACCGAGCTGGGAATATTCAAGCCAATTTTACACGCCAGCATTTGAGAGCGAGTTAAAGATTAGAAAGAAGCAGATGCCCTTAAAAGAAACAAGAGTGCACAGGCTGTAGGCTACAACCTTCAGGTATTCCAACCACAAGCTTCCATCCATCCAGGGATTAAAAAAGTAGAAAAATAAACAGGCTTAGGAAGAAGAAAAAAAAGAAAAAGAAAGACAGTTCTTGCCTTTTATTTTGCAGTCATGTTAAATCCTGTCTAACCCATCGTTGCCATCCCTTAGAGGGGTTTCACTCGCATGTTGGAATAAAAGATGCCCGGTCCGTCCTTATTTGTCTGCCTCTGGGGTCCTTAACCCTCCTCCGTCACTCTGCTTAGCTCGCCTTCCTCCAGGTTAGTAATTCTTGGAGATTTCTTTAATGCACAAAAATGGATGCAATGAGAGAGGGGGGGGGAGTACTGTGTATGAGTGTGTGTGAGAGAGTGTGTGTGTGAGAGAGAGAGAGTGTGTGTGTGAGAGAGAGAGAGGTGGAAGAAGAGGCGGAGCAATGGAAACACGTAGAAGAATAAAAAACGAGAGGACGCGCTGGATGTTCATTGACAGCAGGCTGACAGCGGCCGCTAAAACGCGGAGTGGAAGAGCGGCGCGCAGCTGGAGCACCGCTGGAAACGGGATGAGCATCATCATGCATATTTCATAACCAGATGATGAGCGCCGTGAGAGTGTGGGTGGGGGTGTAAAGTGGGAAGGTGAATGGGGAAAATGACCTGCGACGATGATCGTAACCGCTGCAGGTGTGGCAGCGGCGGTTCTGCTTTCATGCACCATTTGCGGCACACGCCGGCTTTGATGCCAGATCACGTGAGATATTCTGAGGGACACGCGCAAGAAAACTGAGGCAGAGCGGCTACACAAGGCTGGTGCACTGCACAGTGGAAACAGGAATATTAATATCAACATTATAGCTGCTGGTTCCATGTATGCTAAATAGACACCTTTAGGGATTTAAAGGCAACATCTGCAGTTCGTTTCAAGTGTTTTGTGACGTGAGCCATTTCGAATAAAAGTTGGTTGCAGGCATATTTTTAAATGACATTAAACTCATTATACGATCAAAGCAGTTCCACACACCTCTATCTAGGAGTGTCTGTACCACCACTCCCTGCAAGGCCTTTCTTATCTGGGTGACTTTTATCCTATTGGACATTTCTCAGGTCTGACCCCACAACTATACATTCCTCTTCCTGACCTCTATCACTGTTCCAAAGACAGTCTCCCTCTACCACTTGTTTGTAGGATTTGAAGGACAACATTAAAAGGACAGAGGCTCTACCTAATAAGGGCTCTAAAGTCAATTACCACAAGCGGCTTGATCTGCCATAATAAGCCAAAATAAAAGTGAACTTCTTGAGTTGGATTTGTGAATGACTGAGCTCATAGATTCTTCCAAAGTACAAATAATGACGTTTATTATTATAAATACACATCAAAAAAAAAAACTGTGTGGAGCCATTTGCATATTACATTGAACAGCTCAGAAGCTGATTTGTGGAATTCCAAACATGAAAAAAAATACTTCCTTGCACTTTTTTGGTTGTAAGAATTTTGTATTAAACCCGAGGATTTAATCTGCCCAGTTAAAAGCCAAAAATGGAAAGAAATCTACCACTTATTTATGATTTAGGCTTTAAAAGAAATATTCACGGGATCAATTTACAGTTGCAATTTTTGAGACTTATGGAAATCCATCAATTTCATTTTGAAGACAACATCCAAAGGTAGGTAGTTACCTATATTATGTGAGCTACATTGGATGGAAATGGACAGAATTCAGAGTAAATATCTTTGTTTTGTGACTTTGTGATGAAAGCCATCTCTGGTAGTTTGAAAATGAAATTAACACATTTTGTTACATTTTATTCACAGAAAATGACGCATCCATTTATCATGCATCACGCTGAACATCAGTGGTTCCAAGCATGATGCATCTTAACTTTTTATAATTGTCAAGGTGGCTCCTGGGTTGAGAAACGCAAACTTGCACAAAGCAAAGTGTGAAACAGAACCAAACCTAACCAAGTATACTTGGTCTGAATGCATTTTATAGTCTGTGTCCTTTTCCTTTCCACAACAGTCAAGTTCAATCTTCTTCAGAAATCTGAAAAAATATCCATATAGATGAAATCTCAGTCTCTAGTTCTTCTCTCCTTCAGCTTTGGCCTACTTCACCACAGTGACGACATGCTTCTCCTTCTCAGACACCACGGGAACGCTTCCTGGTTTGCTGTGTTTGCGAACATTCTTCTCCCTGAAAAATGACACAAGGAATCATGAATGTGAAATGAAGCTTTCTGGTGAGAATATTCAAGGAAGGATGGAGGGACGGGGAAGGGAGAGAACAGCAAACAGTGAGGAGAGTGACTGAATATGAGACTGTTGACCTAACACCTACGTCACAGACAACACTGATGCACTCTGAAAATAATGCATAAAGGACAGATAGTTAATCATTCACAGTTCAAACACATGTCTGACGTATCATAATACTCCTGGTAATTAAGGGAAAAAGAAGAAGCTATGAATCACTGGACGGCAGTGCAAACTAGGACAATCAATCCAGCATATAAATGAGTATTTAATGCCAACTGAGACCATGCCATAGAGGGCAGTCCCATCTGTGGTATTTTCCATCAGGCTGGTGTGACTGCTTTAGGTCAGACCTTTCCTGACATCATGGATAAAGAGTGACTTTAATGTGGCTCCTACAACAAAATCAGTTTCTGTGTTATGAAGAAAATGAATGCGTACTTTCTACGACGAGCCTCCTTCATAACCCTCAGCTCCTTGGTCTGGTGGTAGATGGTCTTTGGTAGATGTCGGTGGCGAGCGATGCGCCTGATTTGTGGGTGGTGCTGGAACTTCTCTTTTAGTTTCTGACTGTAGTTGGCAGCCTCTCTCTCCCTGGGGGCCAGCTATATCACACCAGAGAGGAAGAAGTTATTACATAAAACAAATTTTAAAAACGATGGAAAAATTGAGAGGAGATGAGTGAGAGATCAAAGAAGACATCAAAGAAGACAACGAGAGAAGACGACAATTAGGAGAAAATGTATACTGGGGTCATTGTTGACCCTGGAAGCCAAATTCCTCAAGTTAAATTTGGTTGCCCTTCTGCAGCTTTCACACTGCGTGACCACCAGCAGCTCAGGTCTGCTTCGTTGTCATGGAGCTATAAAACAATCCATCCTCAGACCAGTCAAAAGACTTCCTATTTCCGTTTGATTTAAAACATGGCATTCAAGTTATTGCAGAACTGGGCCCTGTACTATGAAGCAAGCCCAGCATATCCAGGGTAGGGCTGTTTGATATAACGATATATATCGGATAACGATATAAAAACATCCATCGTTTCATTTTACGCTATCGTTTGTTTCGTGTTGTCGCAAAATAAACTGTTTATGGCCGTTACAACTTATTTCTAGAAATGTATGGTTTAATGCATCGGTTAAAACACTTGACTCCAGGTACACGACGCCCAGCTTGAAACACTTCAGCTGCCCGAGATTCACAGAAAATGTTAAATTTTTGTGATTTATATCGTCATTGGGACGATAGATGTCTTATATCGGGATATATCGCACAGCCCTAATCCAGGGTATATTTCTATTATCTGGATCCACTTACCCCAACATCGGCAATCAGGATAAGTAACACACACACACACACACACACACACACACACACACACACACACACACACTAACCCTTGTTCTCATCTAACTCTGACAAGAAAAGTCAAGAGCATTACATAAATATCTCCTCTGAGACAGTCATGATGTGCAATTAAATACAGGTTTTTTTCAGTGAATACTGGTGGTGACTTCTTTCAGCCACAAAC